AAGCTACTTTTTATGTCAAGATCTTAAAAACTCAAAATAATTTTGTAAATGAAGGCAAAATAATTGCTTATCTTCAAAGGGGTCTCACATTACCTTGTAATATTGGTTTTTCATATTATTTATGCTATTTGTTTCGTTGAAGCTCTGGCAACATTTTTTTAAAAAAACATTATATGTTGTGACTAAGACTTGGAGAAAAAATTTTTAAAACGTGATTTTGTCGATTTGTATAATTTATGAAAATCATATAATAAAAAATTATGTGTGACATCTCGATCGACTGATATTAAATACTGGTATGTACGTATGCATGTGCGTATATATAATATACACTAATCTAGTTATACAAAATACAGGAAATCCAAGATGTTGCACACTATTCCTGATATAGGCAGAGATATACAAATAGAGATGAAATCATGTAAACGGGTTGTCCAATCAGAATCAAAATAGCCTCATCACTTAACTTGCCTATAAACAATACACTACGTATTTTGTACTCTGTTCCTGGTATAGTAGTATAAGAAATATCAGATTAACTATTTATAAAATAATACATATTATTAATATTCTTTTTGGATTATATATACCTAAAAATACATATACCTACATAGTATTCCTATGAACTGAAAATGAATCAAACTTTGCATTGAGTTCAAGTTCAGTTCAAAATTTAACTAGAACTAAACCAAACTTATTTTTAAAAATATAGTCCAGTCTGAGTTCAATATGAAATATTAAACCAGGTTTAAGTTCAGTTTAAGTTTAGTTTAAAAGTTTATAAACTTGTTCAAGTTCAATGAATTTATGATTTGCTTACATAGGCTAGGCTTGGGGTGCTTTCAAGTAAGATTAGCAAGTGATTGCAATGACACTCAAGCAAATTATATTTATATAAAATTTTTATTGAGAATTTGAATATGTAAATTATGATATAATTTAAATTTTCTTAACTATTATCTTTAATATGATTAATAAGTACTCATAATGGTACTCATTTAATAGAATCAATTGAAATAAATATTGCAATCAATATTTGAGCAGTTTTTTTATTATTTGTTAAAAATAAAAAAATAAAAAAGCAAAAATAAAAAACAAAACCAACTATTAAACAAAAAAAAATACTGTAAATTATCAAAAATATTCTGGTGAAGCATCAACTTTAGCAGCTCCTGTTGCTCCATTTACTAACTTCACTAACTATAATATATTATTACAACAACAATATTCTACCTTTCTATTTTTTATAAATTCATTAGGCCATTAAAAGTTAATTTTTCGATTAACATCCCACCTCTTTCTTTTTGGCATTCTCTGGTAAAATGAATATATAAAAAAAGTAAAAATTAAAAAATACTGTATAACTACAAAATAATGTGATGGGTGTAGTTTTGAATTTCAGCCTAAATTAAGCTTAAATCAGGTCAAAATTTGAAATAACTCTCTATATGCTATTTTGCAATTATATAGCAGACATAAAAAATAATTTAAATTAAATCAAAATAAATCAAATTAAAAGTTTAAAACCATGGCTTTTTATAATCCCAGCTAAAAATATAAAAAATAAAAATTTTTTTTTAAAAAAAATAAGAAAGAAAATAAATAATAAAAATTAAAGCTAAAATTTTAGTTTCTATTTAGCTGTCCTCTTATATATATTTATTTTAGTTTGTGATGAAGAAGAAATTTAAATAAATATTTAACTTTTACAAAAATAACAATTACAAATTAAATATTCTAATTGATACTTTTTTATATTTTTTAAGCTATCTGATCAGTAATTTATTTTATTCAATGAGAGACAAAATTTATATTCAGCTAATGGAAGCTTGGAGAATTAGTAAATTCTAAATTCTAATCTGTGATCACTGCATACATACTTTAGATCTGATTACATGAGAGTTTTGGCTATAAAAATTGTATATACGAAGATTTTTTCTCAGATAAATGTATTATATAATTAATTATTTACTTATTTAATTTTTTGTTTTACTCTTTTTAATAGAAATATTATATTAACTATTAAATTAAATTTATCTGACCTAATTAGTAACTCAACTAGAATCTCTAGACTAAATTTAAATGAAGTCAATTCATTATAATAGATTTACTACATAAAAAATAGTTTATTTATTTTATATATTTGTTTCATTTGTTTCTATTCCTTCTTTCAAAAGTCTTGAAAAGTAATATTAACTAAAAAATTTACTTAGAACAGCCTTAGTTGTACTGTATTTTCGCAGAATAATGCTCATGAGCATTATTTTGAAGTTTGGCCCAAATTAAGCTTAATTCAGGCCAAAATTCATAATTTTACCTCTGTGCATTATTTTGCAACAATACGGTAAATAAAACTGCTATTGAATTCAAAGAGGCGTTATTAGCATATTTATTTAGAAATATAATAATTTAATAATTTTTTTTATCAAATATATAGTTAAACTTGTTGCCATATTTGTAAAAGCTAGGAGATTATAAGTATCAGCTATTGTTTTTTGAGTCTCCTGTTTTTTTTATTATTCTAAAAATGTTTAGTGCATGAAGTAAAATAGTAATTCATTACTTGTATGGTCTTTTTGAAAACTCAATTGATTGTAAAATTTTCAAGATAGGCATAAAAAAAAGAACATTTGTTGTAAAAAGTTTTTTTTTTTTTTATTAATGTTAATATCATATATGGAAAAGTGAATAACTTTTACAAAGTATTACATGAATACATAATAGTTAATCAGATAGATTTTTTATAAACATCAAATTTGATGTAACATTACACCTCCAATTCAATTTTTAAAGCTAATTTAAGTTAACGAAACTACTATTAGCTAAAGAAAGGCTGGGAGAAAACCTTGTTTAATATAAGATAGTAAGATATATATATATTTAGATTGAAAAAGTTGTAATAGGGCTAGAAGAATATTGTAAAAGATGTAATACTAATAATAAAAGTTAAAGTTAGAGAAAAATAAAAATAAAAATAAAAAATAAAAATAAGTAAAGATAAAAATAAAATAAAAATAGTAAGAGAAAAAAGAAGAGATAAAGATTGAATTTATAGCTCTGCAGTGCTACATATTTAAGCTATAGTATATAAAAAGTTATAAAGAAAAGGTATATAAATAATAATTAAAGTGAGTAAAGAGAAAAAATATATGTTCTTGTTATAGTATGTAATGCCATCTCGGTGCACCAGGCCTAACATACTACCAGAAGATTTGAACATACAGCCCTGCAGTGAAATACGCTCTAACCACTGTACTACAACTGTCAGGATAATGAAAATCATTTTTGTACATTTTTTAAACATTTGTTTTAGATAAGATCTACAATCAGATTGCTTAATTTAACCATGTATTAGTTGTCAGAGAATTGTGTTATACAACATATATATTTAAAGTTTTGTGTTTAGAGTTGGTTTATACTTCAAGTAAAGATGAGTCGACGAAGTTATTTTAGAGCACATTTAAAGAGAAGTTTTAAAAGAGGTTTGCCTCTGAGAGGAATAGAAGATTTGCTATCAAAAAAAAATGAAGATTTGTTTCAAAATAAAGTGGTGGCTATAACTCAAGAAGAAGAGATACTTTTGTTGCAAATTGAGGTTAAGGAGAATATTAGTAAGATTTCAGAAGAGCGGTCTAAGGAGATTTAACCTATGATTTTTGTCAGTTGGGTTTTCGAGAATGGAAAGGTATGCATTTGTATTATTAATATAGATAGGTTGGCAAAATGATCATATTTTGAAAAAGTTAAGTAAGATATTAATTATGTAGTTTACAAATTGAAGAAAAATCTTTGAGAAAAGGTTGGAGGAAATAGAAGAATGAATATGAAATTAGACATCATAACAAAGTTCAGAAGGTGATCAAGATAGTTGTATTTTAAATTATTTTCTTGATCTAAAAGAAAATATATGCTGAGGTTAAAAAAGTTGTGAATGTTACATCATACAGAAGGTTTTGGTGAAGTTGGCGATAGTATAGATATTGTAAATAGTAGTTGAGGTGAAGAGTTTGTGTAGTAAGGGAGGTTTTAGAATTTAGTTTAGTTTTGGGTATATCAAGTCTTAATAAAAATTAGATAAAAAATAAGTTGTTAAATAGGTATATAATAATAATAAAATTAAATAATATATATAAGATTTGTAAATTTTATAAAATGGTTTATATAGTTAATTAACACATGAGAAGATTGTAAAGTTTTGGAAAAGTAATTTTTGAATAAATTGGTCAATAGTGTTGTTAAAAATAGTAGTAATGTTTTGATGTGATTTTAATCTAGAAAAGTATGTTTTTGTATATTTTGATTTAAGTGTTATATTTCTTGTGAGCTCTCAACTATATTGAGTTTGATTTCTTGGGGTCCAGATTTCTACTATAAACTAGTTAAAAAGACTATTAGAAAGATTGATGAAGAAAGATTGTGTATATTTATGAAGAAAAGAATGTGCTTGATTAAATAGTTGTTGATTAATTGTTCTAGAAATAATTGATAATATTTGTGAGAGAAGTTCTGAGATATTGTTTATATTAATTAGGAGTTGTTAAATATGTTGAGATTGTAAAGACTAGTTGTTATTAGAATTTAAATTTTCTATTGTTTGAAGTATATAGTTTTTGAAGGTATTAGAAAGTTGCCAAGGTGAATAATAACAATTAATAGAGTAGGATTTAAAAAGAATAAATGTTAGATATCTTAAATATTAGAATTGAGATTTTAGAAAATTTATTTATATTGGGTACGTGCTATTAATTTATGGAAGTTTATTAGTTTTGTATTTTTATATATAAGCATAACATAATATAATCGACTAATTTTTATGCTATTTTAGAGAAATAAAATTTTATCCAAAAAGACAATAAATGAGCCAGCAACTAAACGTTTAAAATGCATGGAAGATCCAAATGAAGCTTTACAACAACTTTATCATCTTTGATCTAACCTTAATAGTCAAAGTGTCTGGTTTTTTTCAACACTCAAAAAATCTGCAGAAGGATGTATCTTGTATGAAAAATCTGAAAAACCATGCTTATGTTTATGGCATGATCATACAAAGGTGATATTCATTTTTTTTTGCTTGGATAAAAGCACTTAGTAACAAACGTTTTTTTAAAGGCAAAAAATCTGCTCTATCTACGATTTTTTTAAATCCTAGCTGTAGTGGAGTAAGTATTGGTCAAATAATTAAAGGAGACAACCATGTATCTTACTTCAAAAATGCTGAGATAATTACATTAATTTCCATTAAAGATGCTTTAACAACAATAATATGTAATAATGTAGAGTTTGCGAGTATAATTCTAACAGGGAATAAAGAGTTTTTGCAGCTTATATTTTTTGATAAAAAAAATATACAAAAAGAACTTCAAATTAAACAAGCTCATTACAGATGTCGAGAATCTATAGAATGTTCTATTTTTGTGAATAGATTTGAAGTTGATGATTACATTTTAAAAAATAATTCTATTAACACAAGAATCTCAACAATAGACGATGTTGTTTCAATAGTGCGATTTTGTAACAAATCATCCGTTTGTGTGGGGCAATATACCAAAGGTAAATTTAATCATAAGTTATTGAATTGATAATTCTTAATAACATTATTTATAATTTATTTAGGATTTAAACAGGCCACTTATTTGAGAGGAAACTATATATACTCTAATCGTTTAGAACCAAAAAATAATCATGAGATCGTAGCAAATCTAGAAAATAAAGGGGCTAATAATGAAGCTTACCGCAGGGTAGACTGTGCTTTTTTTGTATTGGATAGAGATATATGCATAAATTGTAAAACATTACGCAATACATTGTATAAAATTGAAAAACAACATATTGATGGTGTTCAATCTGTTAAAACGGCACATGCATCTAGAGAAATCTTAACAGAGCTTGTTCAGGATACACAAAAAGTATGTATTAGATTAAATCTTTTTTTTTTTTAGTAAGCTTATATATATACTAAGAATATTTTGTTTTAAATGATTAAATCTCAGAGAGAATTGATTAGAGAGCTTCATGATCGCTTAAAATTAAAGTTTGAAACAGAAGAAGGGAATATATCTGAGCCATTAACTAATATCATTCATAATGTAGTTGACGAAGGTAAAAATAAAGAACATGAAGACATACCAAATATAATTTTAAAGGAGCTAATTCAGGTACAAAGCGAAAAACTAAAAGAAGTACGGTATTATCCTATGTAAATAGAAAATGTTTAATAAAATTTATTAAATTTACTAAATATATTTTTATAGGTTTATCAGATGGGCAGTATTAATTTATAGCAGAGGTCCGGCTGTATACAAAGCAATGAAATCTATGATTAGATTGCTATTATTATCAACACTTAAAAGCTACATAAATGAGACCAATCAACATATAGGTTGGCAAGACAAAGTGGTAGAGCGAATGATAGTTAATATGGAAGCAAATAATATGTGAAGATATGTACGATTAGGCTTTTTTCTCCACAATTCATTTAAAATACAAAAAGGTAATTAATTAATTTAAAAAAAAAAAAAAAACTTATCTTTTATTTACTATAGAGCTTTTATGGAGTCAACGTGAAAATAAGTATGTTGGATATATTGATTTCGATGATGAAAATGCAGAAATTAAAGCATTTGGTAAAAAATGTCTTCATGATATTCAAAACTGCTTAGATGATAAAAAAAGGATGAAGATAAAAAAGACCATAAATGAACCTTAGCAACGCAAGTCCACCAAATAGTGTGGCACTTAATAACCCACTCCTTTAACTTCCCAATAGCATATTTTGCAATTAAAACAATGAATATTCATACTCTTAACACAACTCTTTTTTCTTTGGCGGCCAAGCTCGAATGTGTAGCAATTCATACTTGTGAATCCGTTTGTGATGGTGCAGCAGAAAATAGAAGGCATATTAAGAGCTTTGATTGGTTTGCGATAACCTGAAAGATAGGTGATAAAGTAAAAGTTCAGCTATCAAATAAATCAGGAAAAAAAAGCGATAAACGTTCTACAATAATTTCTTTTAATTCAGAGCGTACAGAATATTTGGTTGAGCTCTCTGATATGAAATTATCTTATCATAATATTACATGATCTGCATTACGCCCTCCAATGCCAGCAAGAACCACTTGGTATATTAATAACTAGTGCGAAGTTCAGAACAAAGTTGATGATGAATAGTATTCTGGTAGAATATATAGGGAAGTTTTAGTAAATGACTATTTAGATGTTGAGGTTATGATTGAGACTACTGAAAAAATAGAAAGAATTATATAGAAAACATTACTTAGTGATATTCGCCTAGCTTAAGAAAAAAACCAAAATTGGATGTGGCATCTTACTATTAATCTTGTAACAAATAAAAAATGTTTTTTTTGAATGACCCTACTCATGTATTTAAAAAATTAAGAAATAATGTTTCAAAAAGTCATACAAGTAATAGTAAAAACAAAAATGTAAGAGAAATAATGTTTGATAATTGGGAAATTAGCTAGAAATACTTTCGGGATGTATATGATCATACTGTAAAACATATGACAGCAAGGGCCACTAAGCTAACAAAGCGACATATATGGCTTATGCCTTGGAGCAAAATGAGAGTAGACCTCACAGAACATACATTGTTACTAGAAGTTAAAAGAGCAATAATAGAAATTCCAGAATTAATGAATATTTCTCAAGGCACCCAGGTTGTATTTAATATTGTGCTTATATATTAACATCTTA